AAATATATTTGCATATGTACATGTCTTTATCTAGACCTCTATAAATGCCCTTTGCCTCCCAGCTCTTTCCTCTATTTCCCTTGATTTTCCTCCTGTCCCACTATCATGCTCAGTCCCCACCAGGGTTTCAGCACTTCCGGTGTTTGCTTGTTTTTAAGTCAGTTGACTCCTTCCGACTTTCCCAGCATCTCACCAGAAGCCCCACAAGTGGTCCCCAGAGCATCCAGGTCACTGCTAGGAACACAAATGTCATAAGCCTCCCTGTACGAAGCCACCTGCCAGTCAAGCTGCCTCTGCTTCCCGCTGACCTGTGGGGACACCCCAGAAGGCCTTGCTGCCTCTCACGCCCTGGCTTCCCTGCCAACTGCTCTCCGGTGCCCCTTGCTACCGCTGCACACAGAGGAAGCCCTGCCCAGCCCTGCGCCAGCCTCACAGCCCTTGCGTGTCTGAGCCCATGGGTGGTCGCTCACCTTCCCTGGCAGGTGGGCAGGGCCCCCGCTACGGGGATTCCTGACAATCCAGCCCCCCTTCAGGATGCCCACCCTGTGGCCTCAGCTCAGCCAGGGTTGCCAGAGGGAACTGGTTTGTTTTGGCATCTGCCTGCACTGGGCTGGAGCCCCTCTTTCCTGCTGTTTTGCATAATGGCGCTAATTCTGTCCTCCCTCCACTGGGGACCCTGGGCTGTGGGGCTGGGGTGGGTGTGGGGGAGTCTTCACTTCTCCCCCAGCTGGGTCTCTTCCCTCCTTGGGCTCCCCCTGACTTTACCCAAAGGCCCCTTTATGAATACCTTCATGTCACCAGCTCTTTCTAACACTTTGAAGCTTTTGTTGACAGACTCACTTGAGCAGTCAGACCTACCCAGCACCCCCGCCCCCAAGCCGTCTTTCGCTCCCAAAGGGAGTGTGCCTTCAGAGGCTTAGGAGGTAGAACCCCATGCCCACCCCACCCCTGAATCCCCGTCAGTTCTGCTGTTCTCGGGTCCCAGGCCACGTCATCCTTTCTGTCTCCTAGGCCACTGATCTGGGTGAGGATGGGGAGTGATGAACACCCGGGTCTCAGTGGCCTTGTCTGTAAAATGGGAATCGTGAAGCCTGTGTGCGGGTAGGGCATTGAAGCAGATGTGTGTTCTTCAAGTGATCAGATGGTACACTGGTCTTTTTCTTTAGGCGCACAGTTCTGTGAATCTAGTACTACTCCCGTAAACAATCACGGTCTTGGAAACTCACGGCGCCGTTCTGCCGTGTCCTATAGGGTCGTGATGAGTCAACATCGATTCAATGGCTGTGAGTTTACGGGGTGAGTATAAACCCCACTCAGAGCCATGGGGCCAATTCTGCCAGAGCAGAGCTGTTCCTTAGGGGTTCTGAGTCTACATCTCCACGAGAGCAGTCTCATCTTGCTCCCTCGCAGGTGCAGCTGGGTTTGAACCACTGCCCTTACAATTGGCAGCCCAGAGCTTAACGCACTACACTACTAGGGCTCCTGAATACATGTATTAAACACAAAACGAAACGCACTGCCATCCAGTCAATTCTGACTCATAGCGACTCCACAGGCGGGTAGACCTGCCCCTGTGGGTTTCCAGGTCCATACGTTACAGGAGGAGACAGCCTTCTCATTCTCCTGTGGAGTGGCCAGCGGGTTTGAACTGCTGGACTTGCAGTGAGCGGCCCGGTGTGCCGCAGGCTATTGGTACCTGCATAGATTTGTATAATCACCGTCACACTCAGGGCCCCTAAAATGAACCGAGCGCTTTTACAGGAGGTGCAACAGATATTTGTGAAATGCCTTTGAAATGTCCTTTAAAATGGATTGAGCACGTCCGTGTTCATTTACAAGCCCCCTGGGAGGGGGTCGCACTAACCCCCACTTTGCAGATGAGGAAAACGGAGACTCAGGGCAGACACCATGATTGGCCGAACTCACATGCAGTTTTTCTGACTTAAACTCCAGCATCTATCTACTATGACCCAGCTGCCTGCCTGGAAGGGCTTCGCATCAGTAAGCACGGAATTAGAGAAGGAGGGAGGGGCGGAGGGGGAGGGGGAATCCCAAGGCAACCCAAGTCACCTTCAAGGTCTGTCTTTTATTTATATATATATAAATAAAATATTAATTATATATATAATTTTAATATATATAAATTAAGTATATATATTTAATCATTTTATTGGGGCCTCATGCAACTCTTATCACAATCCATACACACAGCAATTGTGTCAAGCACATTTGTACATTCATTGCCCTCATCGTTCTCAAAACATCTGCTCTCCACTTAAGCCCCTGGCATCAGCTCATTTTTCCCCCTCCCTCTGTCTTGAAGAGGTTTGCTTTTCCTGCTCACAAGTTCCAAAGGCTAGAGGCCCTCCCACCAGCTCCCACCTGCTCCCACCTACAGCGGACAGGGCCTGGAGGGTCAGGCCAGTGAACCACCACCCCACCCCCAGCAGCCCAACCCTGGGGCTGCTCCCCTCCCCACACCCCAGCACAGCCCCAGACTCCTGGGTGGGCATATGCGCCACTGCCCACTGGGGGAATCCAGCCCAGTCCCCGGGGGCAGGGGTTTAAGCAAGGCTGGTTCCTCCTCCATTCTAGCTTGACTTCCGGCAGGCTGGCTGCAGGTGCTGCTAAGGCTGAGGTGATCTGGCCTGGGGAGCTGGGTGTTTTTCCAGAAAAATCAGAGAGGAGAGAAAAACAAAACAACACTTGAAATACTGCTGCTCTTTCCGGTCACAAGCAGGTAGCAACTGTCTCTTAGCAGAGACCTGGCCTGAAGGCCAGCTCAGAATCCTGTCTGGGGTCCATGCTCCCTCCGCTCCACAGCGGGACTCCGAGCCTGCCTCCGTGACATCCCCGGGGGGTGGCCCAGGTCTCGTCTGGCACCCTCCACTTCACTCTTAAAACCTTCTCAAACAATAAACCTTCCCCAGGACATCGCAGCTGCTTCTCCTAAAACCTCTGTCTGGAAACTGTAGTGACTGCTGAGATTAGCACTGCAGTCTGAATTCCACTTGACTGCGAGCTCTAAATGCAAAATGTGTGCGTATGCGTTTTGTATCTTTTTAAAACAAATCATTTTATTGGTGGCTCAAACAGCTCTTATCACAATACATACATGCATCCATTGTGTCGAGCACATTCGTACATTTGTTGCCATCAAGTAGAAAGAAAATGTTTTGGCCAGTTTTTAAAATGGCATTTTTCTTGGACTTCAGCCTGCTTTCTCCAAGCGTGGGGTGGGACTGGGGGAGGGGTGGGGGTGGGACTGGGGGAGGGGTGGGGTTGGGGTTGGTGGACTCTCTCAACTTCATCTTCCCTCGCTGCCCTCAGGGGGAAATCCACACATTTTCCCTTCTCTGCCAGTGGTCCGCCTGGCCCCATTCCTTGTGTTTTACTGTTAACTACTGTGGTCGACCTGTTGCCTTGCATGGCCAGCTCCCGGACTTGTTTTTACAAAGATATTCATGAAGTCCATTATTTAATACTTCATTAATACCCACTCATAAAATTAAAGTATGAACACAATAAACTATCTTGCTTAAAGTCCTAAATGCCATAATTGGTATATTATTTAATAAGTATATTAATTGTGTGATTTTTTAAAATCTTTTTAAAATATCATTTGATTGGGGGTTCGGACAACTCTTATCACAATCTATCCATCCATCCATGGTGTCAAGCACATTTGTACATTTGTTGCCATCATCGTTCTCAAAACATTTTCTTTCTACTTGAGCCCTTAGTATCAGCTCCTCATTTTCCCCCTCCCTCCCCCACCCTCCTTTACTCATGAACCCTTGATAATTTATAAATTATTATTTTTTCATGTCTTACACTGACGGATGTTTTTCTTCACCCACGTTTCTCTTGTTCATCCTCCTGGCTGGGGAGGGGCTGTTATGCATCCTTCCCTCCTCCCCGCCCGCTCTCCCCCTAACCTCCGGGGTGTGATGTATGTTTTGTGGCTATTGTTGAGCATGGACGCCAATTCAACAGCCTCTGCTCAATGCACGCGATGGCGTCCCTGGCTGGTGCGGTCATTCCCACACACACCCTGTGGGTCCGAGCTAATCTCTCCGTTTGCGGTTGGTCCTATCAGCAGAGCTCTTTAAAGAGACAGACAGACTTTCTTTACTTGTAAAACCCAACGTAACTGTAACTAGTGGTTTGGTTTTTAAGAACACATGGGGTGTGGGGTGGGGGTCGTAGGGGTTAAAGAGCTCAGCTTTAAAGCGATGACCCCAGGCCAGCATCCTTTGCCCCTCAGGGGTCCCCATGCTTCCTCCTGTTGCCCCTCCATCCACACTGGCCCTGGCCAGGCCGGGCCTGTGGTTCCTGGTCCCCACTTCCCGGGTGGTCCCCCCACCGCCTGAGCTCCCTGGCTTCCTTCATGATCGTTTTCACAATTGGAAATCACTGCACATGTTGCCGCTGCGGGGGCTGGGGAGGCGATTCCCATTCACCGCTGCACACCCGCCCGTGGGACTGGAAACTGCCCCGAGCGTTTTCTTGGCTGGGGATCTTTATGGATGCAGACCCGCCAGATCCTTCTCCGGCAGAGCCCAGCTGCTGGGTGGGCCCAAACTGCCTGCCTCTTGCTGCACCCTCATAGCCCCACAGGCTGTACCGCTCCGTATGCATTTGTCTGCTGTGGTCCCCCTCTCCCCAGTGGACTGGGAGAAGGATGGGATCCTGCCTTCTGCTGATCGGGTGCAATGTCTCATAGGATCAGGGTAACAGGAACTGGCTCGGTTAACGGCACACACCAGAAAAGGAGCCGTGGAATGAAAAGCTAAAAGGCACAAACAGCCACTAGCAAACCTGAGGCCAAGAGCCTACTTCCACTCCTGGTGGGTCACAGCAGGACTCTGCTCTTAGGCTTTGCAATGGCTGCATACTTTTTTCAGATCGCCACGCCTTTCTTCCGAGGCACTCCTGGGTGTGTGTGAGCTGCCAACCTTTAATAGCCGGGTGCATTAACAGTTTACATCATCTAAGGATAAACCCATAATAAACAAACTTATTATCAATGATCCACTAAGACAGAATCAAACTGCCTCTTTGGGTTTCTGAGTCTTTAAGTCTTTGAGGAAATAGACAGCCTCATCTTTCTCCCTCGAAGTGGATTCGAACTGCTGAGCTTGCGATTAGCAGCTCAGTACTTAGCCCACTAGGCCACTAGAGCTCCTTAACAATACAACTCACTACCGCAGAATCGATTCTGAGTCATAGTGAGCCTGTAGACAGGCTAGAACTACCCCTGTGAGTTTCCAAGACTGTAACTCTTATGGGAGTAGAAAGCCTGATCTTTCTTCCACCGTGTCTGGTGCCTTACAGTTAGCAATCCAACTCAGAACCTCTATACCACGAGGGCTCCGATTTTATCTAGGGACCCAAAGCCAAAAACAAACTCACTGCCATTGAGTAAAACTGCCCCATGGGTTTCTGAAACTGTGCCTCTGTATGGGAATAAGGTCTCTCTCCCTTAGAGTACTGGGTGGTTTAGAACTGTGGGCCTTGCAGATTGCAGCCCAACTCGTAACCACTATGCCATCAGGGCCCCCTACTGTCTAGGCGCAGGACTAGGTAAAAAGAAGGAGAGGTTATTTCTGGCTGACAGTATCAGGAAAGCACCCCAGACTTCCCACAACTGCTGGAAATACCTTGGCACGGCTTTCTTTTTCAACGGGACTCTTTCCTGGGGAGTCATCCCCAAAGTGGAATTGACTGAACATACCTGGTTGTGGATATGAATAACTAGGGACTTGCGGATCATTCAGAGACCCTCCCCCAGTGTAAACAACACTCCCAGCTGTACACACGAGGGCCCCACTTCCTTCATGCCGAAGCCCTCTGGCTGCATCCTGTGGCAAACACGGAGGTCCAGCCGCAGAGAGGAAGTGAAAGTGCAGGGGGACGCTGAAACGTGACATATACAAATGGGAAGGCTGGTAGGGCTTGGTCTGCTGCCCAGCGCCCCAGGTTGTTTGCTCTGCCTAAGTGGACCAGATTTAAAGCAGGGCACCATTGACCGGGGGGTGGTGGGGTGGAGGTGGAGGTGGTTCTTGATGAAAAATTTGGTCTATATGGACTAAATAGACCGTTCCCTAGCTTGATGTGCATTCTTTCCAAAAATCGGGACTTTTAAATTTATTTTTTATTTTTATCTTTTTTTTTTTAAAACACTTTATTTATTTATTTTTTGTCTCTTTTTTAACATTTTATTAGGGGCTCATACAACTGTTATCCGAATCAGGACTTTTTTAAAACGCCAAAAATCGGGACTGTCCCGCCAAAAGCGGGACGCCTGGTCACCTTACACCCCTTTTATTCACTTCATATCTGTGCACACCTCTGGGGCTGAAGCGCCACCTCCCCACCTTCAGGGAGCATCTTTTGTGCAAGGACTTGAGCCCTGTCCCGCTAGCTCTGCACTGAGAAAGTTCCGGCCACGCCCATGAATCCACTGCCTGACTAGATGAGGCTTCCACGGCTCTTCTACCAGCGAAAGAGTGTGGGCCCTGGGAAAGCTAGGCAGCCATCGCTTAGATCAGCGGTTCTCAACCTGTGGGTCGCAGCCCCTTTGGGGGGTCAAACGGCCTTTTCACAGGGGTCGCCCGATTCACAACAGTAGCAAAATGACAATGATGAAGTAGCAATGAAAATAACGTTATGGTTGGGGGGGTCACCACGACATGAGGAACTGTATGAAAGGGTCACGGCATTAGGAAGATTGAGAACCACTGACTCAGATGATAGGCTGTGGGCACTCAGGGTCTTCAGCTGTGAGATGGGGCTCGTGCCCCTCTGCGAGCCGGCACAGGCCTGGCCCAGGATGGACGCTCAGAAATCTTCACCTCCTTCCCCACCTCCTTTGGGAATCCCAGGGTGTGGTCTCTGGAGACCCTGATCCACTCGATGTGCTGAGAGACCCACTTGGTGCTCAAACTCGTGTAAAGGATATCGGAAATAAGGGGAGGTCGAGGGTGGCTCAGGAAGAGTGCCAGCCTCTGAGCTCAAGGAAGTAGGACCCTACTGGAGGCACGGACCTCTAATGACCACAGGTGAGTGAGGAAGGCTCCCATCAGGCCCTCTGGGGCTGCCCCTAAGGACAGGGCAACCTGCACGAGGTGGCTTTGGGACCATTTGTGATGCAAAGAAGCCCCGAGATGGTAAAGTCCGGAGATGGAAAGGACTCCAGCTACCCTGAGAGAAATGGCACCCAAACTCTGATAGGGTGTTCTTAAGGAAACCCGAGGTGATGAGGTGACGTGAAGGGGTGTCTCATCTTGAGTCTTTTTTTTTTTTTTACTCATGACTCACTTTTTTTCTTTTGCTCAAATCTTTTCAAAACCGTTTCATACACATAGAATTCCCATATAATCCCACTCAATGGTTTGGTCATAGTAAAAGGAGATGTGCCTTCGCCATGACCATCGATTTCCGAACATTTTCTTCTTTCTTGCGCTCATGACTGTTAACTCCCCATTTCCCTCCAACTTCCCCCGCCACAACCCCAAGAAACGATTCCCCATCTGCAATCTCTAGGTGGACCAATCCTGGCTTTCACAAAGGACCCAACAGCAAGAACAAGCTGAAGAGGGAGCAAGTGTCATCAGAGGAGCCAATCCCAGCCTCTCCCCACCCACGGCCAACACCAACACAGAGGCGTTGGTAGCCGCTCTTGAGCACAGAGGACACGAGGATCCGGCTCCAGGTAGTGACTCAAGAGTGAGTGACTTCATAGCACTGGAGGGAAAGTCCCAAGTCTAATTAAAAATAATGTACCTTCCCAGTAGTAATGAATTATTTATGTAGTCCCCTGAAAAGATCCAAACCGAGCAAAAAGAGCCTGACTTCCACTCCTCATGCATGGGTACCCTTCTGCACTTCCCGCTTCCGGTCTTGTGGTTGCCGTGGTAACCCTTTTGTAAAGGTGTATCCCTATCCCCAGGGGTCCCCAGCATCTTCTACTCAATCGAAGTGGATGTGGAGGGAAAAGGTGTCCACTCACCACCCAATGGGTCCCCCCTGCTCTGGGCAGTAACCTGCCTCGGTCAGCCCTCCCTCGTGCCCATCTCCCGAGGCCACTGAGATGTCCCCAAGGCGGGCTTCTGCTGTGCTCCGTCCTCGTGGGGGATTTTGTTGTTACTGTTGTTAGGGTCTGTCAAGTTGGTTCTGACTTGGCAACCCGACCAAGGGAACGCTGCCCTTTCCTGCGCCAGCCTCGCGCCCCCTGTTGGGTTTGAGCCCGTTGTGATGGCTGTCACTGTGTCACTCCATCTCCTGAGGGGACCCCTTTTCCATGGCTCTTCTGTGTTACCAAGCATGATGTCCTTCTCCCAGGTCTGGCCTCTCCAGAGTACTGAGTCTCAGCCCCGTCACTTCCAAGGATGGTCCTGGCTGTACGTCCTCCAAGACAGCCCTGGTGGTTCGGCCAGCAAGCCACAGTGCCTTCAGTAGTCCTCACCAACACCAATACTTCAAATGCATCATTTCTTCCCTGGACCTTTCACATGCATATCAGGTGACTAAAAACACCTCGGCTAAGGTCAGGTCCACGGTAGTCCTCAAAGTGACAGGTTGTTTTTGTTTTTTTGCTTCCTAACACCTTTATGAGGTCTTTGGCAGACTATTTGCCCAAAGCCATTGTCTGGGGTCTTAACTGCTGCTTCCATGAGCGGTGACTGTGAATCCAAGCGAGATGAGATCTTCGGTCTTTTCCCGAACCTCGATCTTTGAGGACAGTCTTCGTCCGTTGGTCCTCTCAAGAGCCCGCCGGGAGAACAACTCCCAGCGGTCTCAGTATCCTCCCCGCAGATCACACATCGGGGTCACCTGTTGGACAATGATTTGGGAAGGATGGGAGAAAAGGGACCTCTATCTTCTGGTCCTAAAAGAGGGACCCGGCCAGGCCCTGTCTCTCAGGGACACGGGGCTGTGACTCTTCAACGTTTGTTGCCAATGGTGTAACACTAGAAAGGCTTGCTTGCTCTCCCATGAGGTCAAGGGCTAACTGTTCTTCAGCTAAGGGACAGAAGGCTTAAACACCAGCGAGCGTGTGCCTTCCTGCCCTCACCCCTGGGTGATCTCCAGACGCTGAGTGGCCAGAAGGCTGCAATCCCAGCTCCTCTGGGTCTGACTTTGCTCTGCGGTGCGCATTGCGACATGGCCGTGGGCCACTCTCTCTTGGGAGTTGAGAGAAATCCATCTGGCCCTGATGGGAGGACAAAGGGACCCTGTGATCAGGGGGTTCCTGAACTCTGTTAAAAGAACAGAGTACCCAAAATAATAATAAAATAATGGAGTACCCACACAGGCTTTGAATGCTGTAGCTTGGTGTGAAAAGCAGAGCAAGCCTTTGGAGATCTGCTGCCTGGGCGATAGCTCACCCAAGTCCGCCTCCCTGAGCCTCGGTGTCTTCTGTAAAGTGGGGTGATAGCAATCCCCCCTTCACTGGATGGCCAGGGTGAGTCGACGGAGCATCGTGAGCAAACTCTTTGCATGCCACCGGATAGGCTGGCTACGAACATGAAGAGAAGCAGAAAGACGAGGCAACTTCCTTGACTGGCTAGAGCGCATCTTGGGGTTCTGCATCCCGAGTTCCAACACTGGGGAGGAGGTTCAAGACCCCAAAGGCTCTTCCGACTCTGAGATGCTCGCACACAAACAGGTCTGAGGATCCCGGATGTTGCATCTTGGTTTGCATCTCTGTGGCAGGAACAAGTGTTGGTCCTTTGCCCCACTGGCCTGGCAGAGCGATTGTGCGGGGTTCGTGCCCTCAAGGGAACCGTGGCTGCCCAGTGCCTAAGAACCGGGCTGCTAACCCAAATATTGGTGCTTCAAACCCACCAGCCATTCCGAGGGAGAACAATGTATCAGTCTGCATCTGTAAAAATTACAGCCCTGGAAAGCCTACCGCGCAGCGCTACTCTCTCCTGTAGAGACACTTTGTGTTGGAATCCATTCGATGGCTGTTGTTGTGAGGTATAACTCTTTGTACCACAGAACACAACACTGCCAGGTCCCGCGCCCTCCTCACAATTGTTCTTGTGGGTGAGCCCATTGTCTCAGCCACTGTGTCCAGCCATCTTGAGGGCCTTCCTCTTTTTCGCTGCCCCTGCACTTTCCCAAGCATGAAATCCTTCTCCGAGGACCAGTATCTCCTGACAACACGTCCCAACGACATGAGACAAAGTCTCACCATCCTTACCTCTAAGGAGCATTCTGGCTGCACTTCTTCCAAAAGACAGATTGGTTTGTTCTTGTATATGACGATATATACAGTGCCCTCTCGTGGTCAGTACCAGCACTGCACCCAGCCATCCCCAGCCAGGAGGTGGGATGGTGGAATCTGGGTCTGGACTATGCTCAGGATCTACTGGCTGTTCTTGCCCCCCTTTTGCCAACACACACATTCTCTCTGCAGGGAGGAGAGGTCTGGGGGGCTGTTTCTTCTCTCAGGGACCAGCCATCCTTACATAGGGCCCCACTTTTTGGGCACCAGGTTGGGACTTCTTCCTCCTGGTGGACAATCAACCCTACAGAGCTTTGGACTTGGTCAGCTAGCACTCCCTTCTACCCATCCCCCTTAAAGGGGGACAGATGGGGGTGGTTCTCTCAAGCGGAGAGCCTGGATGCACAAGGCTCCTGGGGCTGGCGCCAGTGGGGAGGGGAAAGTGACAAGCCCAGGGGACATGACCTCAGGAGAGGAGCTGGAACAGGGCGAGTGGGAGGCGGTTGTGCATTACACATTAGCACAGGCCCTGCTGTGGTCCATACATAAATGTATATAGCAAACAGCCAAGGGGAGGGGCAGGGAGAGAGGGCCAGGTATAAGAAGGGCCCATGAGGGACCCAGGCCAATATCCCAGGACCCAGCTCCCCCAGACAGCTCACATCCAGCTGCCATGGTTGCAGGTTAGCATGCGGGAAGCTGCCTGGGCTGATGGTGTTCAGCGGGGAGGTGGTGGGCCCTATCTAGGACGGGGCGTTACTTCTCGGGTTGGGGATTCCGTGCAGACCAGGCCGGCTGTAAAGCAGTCGGTCTCGTCC